TAGCATGTCTGGATCATGAGATATCAAAACCGGAAGTTCAGCTGCAGTACCATGACAAGCCGCCAGGGGGCCCAAAATCTAATCATTTTGAGGTCTCATCAAGACCTACCCACCTACCAAATATCAAGATAATCCATCTAAGCTTTCTCGAGTTATGCTGTTGACAGACACACACACACACACACACATACACGAACGCCTCTGAAAACATAACCTTCTTGGCGAAGGTAATGATAGTCCATGTTTTTTTGTTTAAAAGAAAAATGATGCGACCTATGCCATCTCTCAATAGGATTTTATTTACTGTTCACATTGGGAAAGCAATAGACATTGCCAATCATTGATATAAGACAATTTCAAAGTTAAAATTAAATGCAATTGTAACTTTGGGAACACAACTAAAAACAAAAAATTAAGTCGTTCCCATGACATCAAATTCGGAGCAGAATTGACAAAGACGTGCTGAAAAATGGTGGCTTTGTATTTGAACAACTGGTAGTTTAGTACTAGTTGCACCGACCGGTTGAACTGGCGGATATGCCATTTTGTTATACCATGGAGGTAGAAAAAATTGTAGCACTCAACATGTACAAGTGAAGAAATGTCTTTAAAGGCAGCCCTCACCATTCCTTCAAGTACGACATCTTGGTCGTCGGTCAGTATGAAGACTATGTTGGGTCGTGGCGCGGTGGTTCCTTGCACGACAAGGACACAACAGCACAAAAACACCGGAAGACATACACCTAACATTGTTCCTCCCGCCATCTTCGTGACCTTTGAACCCCAGGTCAGTGAACTCTTCGATTGTGAAAAATCCAAAAAGCAGCGAAATTCAGCTAAATGCACATCACCGTGGTTGTATAGATCATCCCAATTGTAGATATTATACTTAAAAATGTCCTGAGCAGTCAAAAAGCTATCTGTTCTTCTCATAAATCCTGTTTTCACACTAGTTTTGCAGCCGTCAACGCGACCCTTGCGCGACCCACGGTGTAGTAAAAGAGACGACCTACGGTTGACTGAAGTACTGCAAGCAAACCCCATACTCATAGCAAACTCGATTCATTTTAACGCAACGCCAGTTCACGCTGGTAATCACACAAGCTTGTGACACTACCAAAAAAAATCTCTTTCGAATTCAGGCACAAAGTTAGTGATTATAGGAAAGTCTATAATTGCAGTTTAGATAGACAGTTGGTAATATCGCGCAGTATCTGGATAATCAGGACACATGTACGGGTTAATTAAAGGTCAAAGGTTGGTGCCCTGATTACCCCAGATTATCCTGATTATCCAGATGTCCTTTTTCAATTACTAAAAATTACCAATTAATAAATATAGGCTCTGGGTGGTTTAATTGTAACCAAGTAAATTTTTAGTGCAAGGATGATTTTTTTTTTTCTTTTTTTTACTTTTCGAGATCAAAGTTTGAAAATGCCAGACGCATCGGAGTTATACATTTTATACACTTTTAAAACTTTGCCGCATCTGTTTTGGAAACTATTGGTCATGATCAAATAAAGTTGGAAATCAGTCGTGTAGTTTTTATGTCACATTGAACTTGAAAGGGCATGAGAAGTATAGAAAATTTTGCTTCATGTAGCTGCTGAATGTATGTTGCTAATACTTGCAAAAGGCTCCGCTTGCAGTACCTTAGTCAGCCGTACAATGTCTCTTTTGAACCGTGTCGATTGCTTTCTGACATTGCTCTCTGATTTTCCTAACTTGTTATATCATGCATATATAATACTTTCAAAGGTAAATGTCCTTTTCCAAGAAAAAAATCAAATAACAGCGATTTATTAATCAACATTCCAGACTTGTTAATAAAGTTTATTTTGAATCCTGTCACAGTAGTACTTGTTATCCATATACTAAATAATGTAACATATGGAATACATGTCTAGAGAAAAGATGAGTTACAAATGTATTTACATTAGATGCCAATTGGTTAAATGTACATCATAACCATACTCATTATGTCGTAGTAGGTGATATACTAATATATTACGCATGCATTAGCCTGAAAACTGTTGATAGCTGTATGAAAGTAGCTAATCGCATATTTAGACACCTCCCACCTCAATTAAAACATGAAGAACGGTTATATATACAGTGATTTCTGTCTTCAAAAGCTAAGGTTTAGTTACCTGCTTAAAGGAATGGTCTTAATCACAACAATCTTTAAGAAAGGTAATGACATATCTTTATCAGGTTCTCCATATTATACAATGATGAAGACTGTCATTTGCCATTACATACAAACATATAACAATGACTAAATGCGTGTGTGTGTGTGTGTGTGTGAGTGTGTGTGTGTGTGTGTGTGTGTGTGTGTGTGTGTGTGTGTGTGTATGTGCTGTATATATACCACATTTGCATCTTACTGCACCTTCTTGAACTGTGATATACGAGTTCTTTGGAAAACGTTATAATATATAAACAACCAAAAGCGGGCGTTCAAAGGTTTTCTTACTACACAATAGAAGGAAAAGGAATATACGGTCCAAATAATCCAATTACATACAAATGTATATATAGACAGTTGCATAGTTAGGGATTTTCTTATAACATGATCTGCCAGCCTGGTTTGTTTTTAGTTTTCACCCTATTGCGGTTAAGACTATCCACTTCCAGAAGTCGGCTATTTTGACATAGGACACGCCCAGTCCGTGGTCGTCTGCCGTTTTGATGCCGTACAGGTACCAGGTGTTCTGTTGCCTGGCGACCACGGGCGACCCGACGCCGTCAAACTCCGGCGTGTCGATCAGCGCCTTCTTGTCGTTCCTCACCGCGCACGCTGTCTGTCCCGGGGTCGGTATGTGGTTCCTGGGCTGGCCCGCACACGGCCACGATCTCAGCCTCATGACGTACAACCGCGCTGGCTTCTCAATGTGATCCTCGGTGCGACCCCACATGGAGGTGAACAGCTTCTTTTGCGCCCCCACTCGGACTTGCTGGGAAACGCAGATGGGCTGGCCGGCCTGTTCTGATCCAAGGTCAATTTTTATCATGGCTAGGGTGTGGCCACGGGCGTCATTCTCAGGGTCGACCTGCACCTGCACCACCTGAAATTAGCATACAAGTTTTAGATACACAAAATGCCTCCGCCCCTGAGGGGCCGCCAAAAAATACCAACGTTAAAATAGTCTCATGGGTCCATAACAAGACTGACAAATTTTAGATACACGAAATGCCTCCGCCCCTGAGGCGCCGCCAAAAAATACCAACGTTAAAATAGTCTCATGGATCCATAACAAGACTGACTGACCTTGAACTTCCTTTCCGTTATGTCTTCCTTATGGAGGTTCCTCAGCTTGCCAATCTTGACCACGATGTCCGTCCGGACGTCACCGTTCGTCTGCACACAGCTGGCGGCTGTCAACACCCACCTCTCCGCTAGGAGCGCTCCCGCACACCGGGGACGGTCTTGTACAACGTCCCAGATGATGGCGTACCACGGCCAGCGACTCTTCTTCCCTGATCTGGAACCAAAACATTTAAACTTTTGTAAACAATTAAAGCAAACAAAAGGTTAATTTGAGAAGCCTACTATACTATGAAAACTATATGCTAAAATACCCCCGCAAAGGTCTCATTTCCATTCCATCAGTCCTAATGATAATTTACGACTACGGTAGCTGTTTGAATTCGAAAATCGGGCATTAATTGACTGAACGCATAGAGATTTATAAAATATACATCTTATTAACAAGTACGTTGACATTAAAGTGAACTTAATCATACTGAAGCAGCCATTTGCTTATCATATGCAGCAGGGAGAAGTTTAAGACTTTTATCGACCTTGTATTTGTAAATCCGAATCAAGAATTCTTGCTTGAAAAATATCAGGAACAACATTCTTACTGAATGTTATCTATATAACTTGAGTGTGCCGTCACCATGTCTAGTCATGAACTGTTGGAATATAAAAAAAATCACCTTTCACATGGAACACCTGGCGGTAGTTCAAAGATATCTTCAGCCGAAGGTGTGTTCACATTCTGTAGAACTCTGGAGCAGCTGACGTCTGCGGGGTCCAGACTGGAAATCTATAGACATAAACAGTAGTCAGAATCTGTATGAATCAAGACCATAGCACGTCAAGGAGAAGAGAAATGTTTTAAAAAAATTATCCTGCAGTGCGGAGGAAAGACGCCAGGAGGCAAGAAAATCAACCTTGAGCTCGGTCTTCCTCAAACCTACCCACATACAACTTCATGCAAGTCTAGTTGCATATGCATAACTACCTCACAACTTTCTGGCTGAAAAAGTATGGAAAATTGTCATTGTGGAATAAAAAGAAACTTACGGTTCGATGTTGCAACGACGAAGGTCCAGCACAAGTCATTTTCTCGGCTTCAACCAGCTGATTGAAGTTGTCGTTTGCCGTCACCAAGGACCAGAGCCAGCGAAGACTACACCCACAGAACCAGGGGTTTCCCGCCAAATTCAGCCTCCCCCTGGACGCCATGATGCTGAGCGTGCTGGTTTCCATGGTTTCCAGATTATTGTCCGCCAATGACAGACGAGAGAGCTTCACTGGCGAATTCAAGGCAGAAAAGTACGTGATGTCGTTCCCGTCGAGAAGTAACTCCCGCAAGTAGAGATGTTTGTCAAAAAGATTCATGTCAAATTCTCTCATGTCGTTCCCGCGCAGATTCAGACTCCGAAGGTAGTGGAGGTCGTAGAACGCAACTCTCGTGATATTCGAGATCTCGTTGTTCTCGAGATTGATGTCCCGGATGTTCATCAGCCCCATGAAGTCATGGCCGCCGATGTTGTCGATCTTGTTCCCCGCCATGTTGACGCTAACCAAGCTTTTCAGCCTCATGATAGCCATTTGGGGAATCTCGGCAAGTTTGTTGTGTTGGAGGTAGAGGTTCTGGAGCGTCAGCATTTTTCGGAACGCCTCTGAGTGAATCATTGCGATGTTGTTGAAAGAGAGGTCCAGGGTCTTCAGGTAGGGAAGACCATAGAAAGCTGATGGCCGCAGGTACCTGTACACAACAAAGCACGTCAATCGGTAGGCTTGGATTTTTAAATTAAGGAATCTTTTGAATAAGTTATCCAGCTACATGCAACATGATTTGAAAAAAATATATAATTGTGAATCAAACTTTTCTCCAACTCAAAAAATGGGCTCATTAGAAATTTGTACTGAATCACTTAATCTTCTTCACGTATCTGACCCAATCGCTCAGGACACGTGACTTTATGAACGCGTGACGTCATCAGTAGGGCTAAAGGTTGTTGAAAGTTGATATCGGCCCCCGTCTCGGTTGAGAGAAATTAGAGGCGTCCTGATGTAGATGGCATCCTTTACACCTCTCTCAATGAAGTCCAGATTGCGTAAGATAATTATGGATACCGATTGATTCATTCGAAAATTCCGTTGAGTCCATTTTTTTACCTGAATAGTTTGATTTTTCTACAAATACCTACCTGATTTGATTGTTGTTGAGGTACAGCCACATGACTTTGGACATGTGCAGAATGGACCCCAGCTGGAACGCCCCGCCTTCCAAGTCCTGTATGCGATTATTCTCCAGATGTAGCTCGTGCAGGCTGGTCATTCCGAAGAACATGTTCCTGAAACAAAGTCAAACTTATATCAGTACAGCCAGGACTCACCCTTACGCAATGAAACAGAGAATTTGCCACCTAAAATGATAACATCAATAGCGTATAAGATACAGGCATCAACTACAAATTGATGTTTCCTGTATTGATATCAAAATGTTACGATTTTCTGCTTTTTTTCATTCTATCAACCTAAGAGGCTAGTAGTAATATCATGCACAAATAACTTACTTGTAAAGGTAAGCAATCTGATTATGCGACAGGTCCAGGAGTTGCAGTGCCGTCAGGTCCAGGAAGGTGTCTCTTGTGATGATGCTGATGTCATTCCGGGCGAGGCTAAGGTCCTTCAAGCTTGGCAGATTCTTGAAGAGGTTCCCGCGTACAGCCCGTATCCTGTTGTCCGTTAGATGTAACACAGACAAATTCTGCAGCCCGGAGAAAAACGTTTCATCTATGAGAGATATTTGATTGACAGACAGATCAACGGTTGTCAAGGACCGGACAGTCGAGTTCAAAGAGCCGTTCAAGGTCATAATCTCGTTTGACCTGAGAGAGAGGATCCCAACCCTCTCCAGTCCGCGAAGGTTGTGAGACGCCACCTGGCGGAATTCATTGTCGTCAGCATACAGTTCCATAACAGAGCCGAGACCGGAGAACATTCCGTCCGGAATCTCCCGCAGGCGATTGCTGGAAATGTTGAAGTAGCGAAGATTGTGGAGAGGTTGGAAGATATTCGGAGGGATGGTACTGATGTCGTTGTCATCTAAATAGAGCTCGACTATGGAGGTCACGGGTTCAAAGACACCCACCGGAAGTGACGTCAGATAATTGCGAGAGATGTCGATGACTTGGAGGCTGTAGAGGCCACGAAAGGAATCTTGGGAAATCCTGCGGATGTTGTTGTCGCTAAGGTCCAGGATGTACAGGTGGACCAGGTCCTTGAAATCGTTGTCGTTGATTCTATGAGGAAAAGCAACAAACGGTATGACGTAAACGGCTTGTACTTTATTTTTTTAAGTTTTTATTGCAACATGTATCGACACTTTCAAGCCATTGACTTATTTTCATGCCACAAGGAAAAAGTACATTACATAAAAACAAAGCAAGCAATGCAAATTATACAAATACGTATACACATTTTTAAGAGCTATGAAATGAATAACGGATTCCAAGTCCATTGATTCTGCATGGTGATAGGGAAAACTTGGAAAATAATAATTGTTGTTATAAAAACGTATAAATTTTGGTATCTGTCAAAACTGTTTTGACATTTGACAGACCAAAGTAGCAGGTTTGAACTATCACGTCTTTACTGTGGTGCCCATTGCTAGTTGCCACCTTCTTGCATTGACCAGGCTTATATTAGATAAGTTTTCAGCTTTTACAGCTGGTTGCTGTTATAAAGAGACTCACGCGTCTATCTCGTTGCCCTCGATGTCCAGGTGAAATAACATCCCGAGCCGCTGGAAGGCGCCCTGGAAGATGGTGTTGATGGCTCGGTTGTTGACGCTTCTCTTCCTGACGGAGAACACCAGAGGCATGTCCCCCATGTACCCGGGATCTCCCGTCCCGGAACGATCTCCGTGGAGAATCAGGTAGTTTAGGTCTGAAATGTATGTTGTAATTATCTTCATGTTAGATGCTATAATAGGACAATGTTAATACTAGAAAGGTAACATTTGCAAAGCAATATGATGCATAATGTTTACCTTCGCATATGGTCTGCTCTATTAATTCTTACTCAAATGCATTCATATATATGGTCAGAAAGGAATCTAAATCCCTACTACTGTAAGATTGCAACATTATGTAACCCAACACCAGTTACCATGGTGACAGACATCAACAAATCAGGTCATTGGCCAGGTCAGAGGTCAGAAGAAGAGGAAGAGCAAAACGATATGTTTTCCTTCGGTAAACATAATTATTTTCATGTTAGATGCCATGAATGCTAAAAAAATGAGACAATGTTAATATTCTTTCGCTTGATCTAGAGGGTTTTTTTTGGGACAAGGATCAGCCAATATCGTTTGTCAAAAATGCATCTTTTCCGGTAGAAATGACAGGCTCATCTGCATTCATTTCAACAACGGACATGGATGATATAATTAGATTTCCAAATTAAACAGTCTGCACCTCAGTTCGAGCTATGAATATAATCCCCGTACCACAAGTAACTACAGTATTATGGAGGATTGTTACATTAAGCCGAAAATTATACTACGCAGGTTGTTATGATGACAATATATCGGCTTTTCTCAGATGTTTCCTTTGATTACATGCCTCCAGCTAGGCTTATGTTTACTTCCTTGCTTTTTGATTCCAACTCCTTATCACTTCTTGCGCACTTCTAAATATGTGTCCATTGTTGTCTGTGTCTTCGGTATTTCCTGTGGTTTATATGTATGGAATGGCCTAGGGGAAAATAATGTTGTGTTTCCGGTTTCCTGACCGACCCTAGCAAAATTGTATGGTTTGGCGAATAATCTAGTCTTCAAATTCATTTTTTTGACATTTTTTACATTTTCGTCTTTTTCGTTTGATTTTGGCATTCTGCGACATCGGTATCGTTTTCCATTGTCATATACGGCATATATTTGTTCATTTTACGATTTGTACGATTTTGTACGATTTACAGTATGGTTGAAAACCTTCTTTTTTTTTTTGAAACGGCTGAAAATTCATGCGCGCGCGGATGTCATCCATATATTCAAATCAAACTTGATGGCCTAACTCTAACCATGCCGTCTCGATATGCTGCAGTCTAGCCCCTGGGCGAACATTTTAACATTTCCTGTCAGACAAAAGAGATAGCTAAAATGGTAAACATGGTACAAACTGAATTAGTTATCAGTGAGAAAGGGTGGAATGCGGTTCACACTATTACTAGTGTTCCCATACCACCAGTCTGTAGCAAGTCATCACCGGTAAGTGCTACGTCTGGTTGTCTGGTCAGGACTGTAATCAATGTAATGATGACCTGGTGTACAGGCGGCCACACTCTCTCATTTACACGCCATGTATTTATTTTCCGCTGACCTCTTTCGTGACCAAATATTGGCCGGCCCCAATAACACAAAAAGGGTCTGGTCAAGTAGTAAATCCTGTTTCAATTAGGAGTAGAAATGTAGTCTGCGTAGGGTCCAAATACACTCCACTGACCGCAGCGACCTGATCAATTAACAACATTGCTTTGCTCTACCACCACCAATATTACCACGTAGCTAACGGTTTCAAAGCTATTCAAAAGAAAGCCCGTTGCTTTATCATTATTCCCTTTCCAGAATCCTATTAGAAGAGGCAGCGACAGATGAGATACAAAATCTTCCACGAAAGAAAAAGGACCTACTCTTGGCCATGGAAGTTACGATTTTTCCAGAGGAACATCTGCTAGGAGATTACTATGGATACTTCAAAATATATCGTGGAAGCTCAGCTGAATCTCTCTGGACACCACGATTGGTCACCCAGTTCTCGAGAAATCTCGCGAGACCTAACAGACGTGCCAGTGCATGTACCTGTAGGAAGCTGCAGAGGAATGGTCTTCCTGGACCAGCAGCCCATCGCTTTACTTCCGTCCGGCCAGCTGTACCTGTCGGAGAGATCGTCAATATTGGTAACGCCGAATTCATCGTAACAAAATGAAAGAACATATTTAGAAAGAAAATATTTAGCAAAATATTTCAAACCTAGGTACCTGCATAATGCGGGGATTTTTCATTCATTCTGTACATATTCCACTGTAACTTCTTTTCAAGTAAGCCACATACTGCCTATGTCACATTTCCAAACCGGGGCCCGGACGGGCTGTCTGTATGAACGAAAAACTATGAATTCATATCAAGAATATACAGGAATAGTGCCCATGATTATCGAAAACTTTTCTGTGTCTTTTATGTCGTGCTTTTCGTTCCATAAAACTGCCCGGCCGGGCCCCGGTTTGGAAATGTGACCACAGCATAAGACAGAACCAACAGCCGACAAGGATCTAAAACAGCCTTTTTGTGACATGACAGCTGAACTTTATACATGTACGATACATGTGCGACTGTCCCAAGATAGAATTCCCTCGGTTTGCAATCGTGCGACGATCGTACGACGTAAGGAAGACTTACTTGAACATGTACACCTTGAGCGGCCAGGACGGTGGTTCAATCCGTGAGACGGTCACACACTCGCACTGGTCCGGGCAGTAGATGTTCCGGCCTTCCGCCTGAAGCAGCAAGCTCAACAGGAGAGCTATCCTCAGGGCCGCCATGTTGTTTCCGTCTCTTCAGTCGTACTGCGATCCTTGTTGTACCTGCACGTATAACAGAACCCAACACACTCAACGAGACGAGTAGGGGTGACCCTGAGTGCTTGGCTAGCCGCAGCGAATACGCACTGCACTATAGCCTGGGTGCCAGACCCACAGCACACTAGGCTCAAAGTTACCCCCCTCCCTACACACAACTTTGTAGATAACTTTGAGCCTAGTGTGCTGTGGGTCTGGCACCCAGGCTATAGTGCACTACTTAATATCTAACGTCCTTGGTCTTCATCCCCAAGCAGATCTTTCGGTGACTGCAAAGACAGTATCAAATTGTCCATTCGTTAGACAGTTACCATTTGGCATAAAAAAAGTACCGGTACAAAAAAAGCCCACTAAAAACCTATAGAACACGCCAAAAATAAGCCCAAACCTAAATAGGAGAGTACTTCAGTCTGAGGTCGCCTGCATATATACCGACAGGGACCCTGTAGATTGGTGAGTTAGATATATCACTTCCGTTAATGTACCTTGGGACTAATCAACGTGATATGATCTGATAAAGCCTTTTAAAAGAACAACTATGCTAATTAATGTATTACATACAAGGAACAGTATATGTCCATCTTTGCAAGTGGCTAGTTTCAGCAAAGCCATTTGGACACGTATTTCTCCTTTTAAGTTACTAAGTAGTACAGTATTAGTACTTCAGATTGAAATGTTACAAACACTGACAACAACCTCCAGTCATTTAGAACAAGAGTACACCGGCATCTTCTTTCCACCATCAGGACTTCTACATGTAGCTAGAACCTTGCAATTGCTGTAAACCAATGATTAACCGTGAGTGTTATTGTAATGTTACAGTCCAGGTTATTGTTTACATTATAGAAAAGATATATATCTCAAACATGTTCGTATTTTAGATAAACTGAGGTTAAAACTAAGATTTGGAACAATTTGGATATGCCACATGATTTTATCGAGTTTTAAGTTTTCAACCATACTGTAAATCATACAAAACAGTTGCAAAATGAGCAAATACATTCCGTAAGTTGCAAACAAAATATTGGAAAACGTTACCAGTGTCGTCGAATGCCAAAATCAAACGAAAAAGACGAAAATGTAAAGAGATGAATTTGAAGAGTAGATTATTCGTCATACCATACTCTGTGTCACATGTTCAACCTTCATAACCACGTATATTTCATAATGAAAGCAACTTTTTTTTGCCAAACTTTTTTTATTCGCACGCTCGCATCAGTTTTTGGCTTCCCAGAGGATGCCATCCATATAATCAAATCAACATGGCCTAAATCCTATCAGTTTGATTACTTCCGCCCCTGTACATTATTGAGTAGTGCCTCCGTCCGTTTTATGACTCGGTGACCCGGCATATATGACCGTATGAGGGTCATTGAGTTTCTTCTATAGGCCAATCTGTAGTTTTAATCATACTCGATAGCTTTATTGATTGTTCGCAGTAAAAAAACTGAATTATAAATCAATGTACAATATTTTCAATCTAACTTGTAGAGTGTGAAATTAAGAGCCTAATATATACAACATGTCACTGGTATTTATCATAATACGGAATATATGTTACAGGTAGGACCTTTCAACATTTTGTTTTGCTACCCTGATATTGCATTGGATGACTTTAAAAAGTCATCCAATGCAATATCAGGGTAGCAAAACAAAAAAAATCTGCATGAGGAAATCTGTCTGATACTGACATTCACTGCCATTTCTTAGCACCTTTTTGCCATCATTTCATACTTAAAGCGTTTCAGAATAACAAAAAAAACAAGCTATGCGAGGAGCCCCTTTAAATATATTTTTGGGTACCGCCCATAAATAGCCTGAACGATATAAAACAAGCAACCGTTTTCCGTCAGCGACATCGCATTTTGCCTCACAGATATCATTATGCAATGGGGTAGGGTTGATTCAATACTACAGTACATGAAAAGAATGACCGGCAAATTGACTTTGAACTTCCAGTTTTGCTGCATTGAAATTGCATTGGATGAACAACGTTTACATCCAACGTCTACGGTAGGCTCTGTACAATCCTTTAGAATTTGATGGCTGGACACTTTAAAGCAGAGACCGTCGGTGTTAAGAGGAAGCTTTGTAAGGTTAAGTCTCCATTAAATTGGCTTCCTTCGTGTCAATCTTTGGGATTTAGTACATTCCAGAATAGCTGACCTAATCCAGCTCAGTACCCTGGGTGCCAAACTAGTATCGGGCCGTTAGACGCTTTCCTTCGGCAGCCAAGACCCCTTCCCCCGCCTGTCTAAATTACCGCCACGGAGGAGTTGAGCCCAGGAGAATTTGTCCGGGGCGGGCGAAGGGCTCTTGGCTGCCGAAGGAAAACGGCTAACGGCCCGATACTAGTTTGGCACCCAGTGTAACAGCTCAGTAGCAGAAGCATTTCTTTCAAACATTTAAAGTTTGAACCAGAGGGGTACGAGTAAATGTTACAATTTTGCTACATTCAATGTTCGTTTTTTTTTTTTTTACTGCTGTCCGTACATTTAGTTAGCCCATTTCTATAAACAAAATTCTTGGGATTCTTTTCCACTAACTTAGGCAGTAAAGAGAGCTGGATCAACTGTGTCTGTGATCTGTAGTGTTTACGAAATACAAAACTAGAAAGGGGATTTCTCTAGTTAGGAGAGTCACTGGGCCAGATCATGGTTTACATGAAGACTTGTCAGAGCTGAGTGTCTCCTAAGGCCTTATTTCCACCAGACAGCGGCGAACGCACATGTAGCATGTTGTCCAAATTAGGCCACACAGATTTAATTTTATGGATGACATCCTCTGAAGACCCCCAAACTAGTACGCGCGGGCGAATAAAAAAAATCCGGCCAAAAATAAAAACGCTACTAAACCACAGGAATACAAAGCTGGTATTATGAATTTTCGTCACTACATAGTGACGTATATGACAAGCGGGCACTTTTTGCGGAGTTTATGATTCGGCACCGTACGTATGTACTGAGTTCTTGAGTCGTGGAGCTTCGGTAGCCTGGATGCCGTCCTCCAGTTTATACTGCCGGCTCCGTATTGTCGCTAACAACCATGGACTACCCAGGCCTAGAGCCAGGCCAGAGCCTCGGAGGACATGGGCATGGCAATAGTGAATTGTACCAGCATACATCTATGGATGACAAAGATGAAATGATCCTACTTGCTATGATTTGTAAGCTCCGACTAATCGCTTTAATGGGCATTGTTCCCGGAGGTCGGAAAAGGTTGTAGAACAGGCTCGGAACACTGGCAGGAGCTAATTTCATAGACAGCGGAGGATTAACGGTCAGGACGGCGGTGTAAAGTGTTTGATTTCCCTGCGGAGTGATATTCTCATGACGTGACGAGTAATTTAATTTACCTACATGTGCGAAAAGTGACGGACCCAGCTATGTATATGATTGTATACACAATGTTGTATGGTCATGTCTTCCATTTCTGTACTAGTATATTTTATCCGTTATCGGCACATGTACATTGGTAAGGGCCCGACCACACATAGGTCGTACGATTGAAGTACGACCGCAAACGCTGACTGAGGGTATTCTTGGGATAGTCCAGTGAGTCGTGTATGTGACCTACATGGGCTCACATTAATCGTAGAGACGTCGTACGATTTTGATGTCGTAGAATTTTTAATTAGGTGATGACAGAACCAACCACAGACAAGGATATAAGACAGCCCGTTTATAGTAACAATACAACTGGTATTTGCTCAACACATACACGACTATCCCAAGAACGTCCTTTGTTTCTGATCGTACTACGAATGTGACCAGACTCCTAACAAGCACCACTTGTCTAAAACAAGGGGGGGGGAGGATTAGGAAGAACCCCTCACAAGGCTCAAAGGTCCACTTTTATCTAAAGGCCCAAGATTTGTTTTAAAGACGGACTGATTTGTATCACCAGCGGGGCTGAAATCCAGGAAAAACTGCTCACTTTGTCATTGAATAAAAAGTTATGTCTGATTTTTTCTTTGAAATCCACTCAAAAATTCAGGAAATGCCACTTCAGAAGCTAAGGTTCTATTTTCAAAATTTCCTGGGGGAGTATGCCCCCGGACCCCCGATACCTCGCGCCTTCGGCGCTCGCTGCTCTCTCAGACAGTGGGAAGACCCCCCCCCCTTCAAAATCCTGGCTACGGGCATGCACAACACCACAAACAACTACTTACCTGACTCCTCCCAAGTACGTCCTACCGACTCGGGGGAAACGGCAACACGTAGATCACTTGTTTAGATAAAGCCGTGATGTGATAAGGAGACACTTATCATCACCATGTAATGGGTTCTAGCCGCGGGCGACTGTCGTCCAGAGTAGGACACATGTTAACATAACTCATGGTTTAACCCGGTCAATTCTAGCCTCCATAGCATACCAAAAACTGGGGGTTGGGGGGTCTTCATGGTCTTTGGGAGATTTTATGTGCTATTTTCTGATTGCATATAGACAACATAGCCGGCCTGGTTGAATTACCCCCGTTTTTTAGAACAGGGCTAATAAGAAAACAGCCGAAGACCACCAAACCCCCAGTTCTATAAGCCTGCTATGGAGGCTAGGTCAATTCAAGGTGAAGTCATAGGGACATAACCTTGCTACAGTCACTGCTCCCCCTTTTTTTATCGAACGACGATCGTACGACGATTGTATGACTCTCGTACGACAATCGTACGACGATTGTACGACGAACTTACGATAATTTTACTACAATCGTACACGTTTGTGATTGGGAACTTACGCTGTGGTCCCACGGTATCTGTCTCCTTCCGTGTTGCTCACCTCAGATAACAGGTCACAGATGATGTAACTTTAGCTCGACTTAATTTACGTTATCAGCAATGTGTAATTATTTCTAACGGAAGGGAATTAAGATAATTAGGGTTTAGATTCACACCATGATTGCAGTCGTAGACATGAGCAGGCCCTGGAATTATTCAACACAACAGCACTTAAAGGCGCCCAATGCA